ACGCTACCGAGCGTTCCCGACGGCGGTAGCGGACATTCCCGACTATATCCAAGATGGCGCCAGCTTGTGCCGACTAGCTATTTTACTACTTTTCTGTCGCGCTGTGGAATATTTAGGCTGATCTAAACATCGGCAACCCGGCCAATTGTGGAGTTATATTGTAGGGAAGCTCGGGACAGCAAAAAACCGGGTCAAAAACGGAGCATCGAGCAGCCAACGGGAAATGTGCAGTTCTGCCAATGGATCTTTCCACGACTATTGCTGAGGGTAATGCAATGTAAGCCCGAATCAATAGTCGCCACGGCTAGAACGGACAGGGGTTGGGTCAAACAAACCTGGAACGGACAGGGGGGTTGGGTCAAACAAACCTGGAACGGACAGGGGGGTTGGTTCAAACAAACCTGGAACGGACAGGGGGGTTGGGTAAAACGAATCTGGAACGGACAGGGGGGTTGGGTCAAACAAATCTGGAACGGACAGGGGAGGTTGGGTCAAACAAATCTGGAATGGACAGGGCGGTTGGGTCAAACAAATCTGGAACGGACAGGGGGGATGGGTCGAAATAATGAAATTGGACTGGACAGGGGGGTGGGTAAAAAAAATTCTGGACTGGACAGGGGGGTTGGGCCAAAAGCTGATTTTAGACCTCTTCCACCCCCCCTCCACAGTTATTTTTTGCAACAGCCCAATACTACTTGTTCTGTGTGTATACATTTGTGTAAAAAAGGTGGGGAGGGGGGCAAAACGCTTGTACCGTACTGTAGTTGTAGTCTATGATTTTACAACAGTCCAGGGTTGTTAATATATACCCTAACGATAGACGTAAAATATGAAGAACTGGCGACACTGTAGTTATGTTGCTTATAATGATGGGATATCTAGGTACAGCAACAACACACTAGTAGAACGTCACATACACGTTAGGCATGGCGCTTTGTGTAGTCGAAAATTACGCCAGTACAAATACGGGTCATTCTTGAAAACTAAAGTTACCAACGCGCTAAATTTATCATAGATTCATTGTTTACACGTTTGCTTATTGCATGCAGGTCAGTTTGTTTTCGTGGAGTTTTATTGCGTTGGAAAAAACGATGAAATTATACCTTGATTCCGTTCAGAAATCGGACCTGCCGCCATCTTGGACGCACGCTGCCGCAGTGCAGTGTGGGAGCAGGTCAGGGGTCATGACTTTTAAAAGATGGCGGGAAATATGTCCGGTGTCAAGCCAAATACATGATCCTGCCAAATACATGACTCCGACACTACTTAGGGGTTTCCAATATACCTAAGACAAGGGGTGAGAGGGGTTAAGTCGTGATGTGTGAGACTAAACCTAACCTAAACCCCAATCGTAAGTCTAACCCTAACCCCAACCCTAACCCTAACCCTAACCCTAACCCTAGCCCTAACTCTAACACTAATACCTAACCCTAACCCTAGCCCTAAATACCTGACCTCTCACGTATGTGGCAGCTCAAGGATTTGGTTCAACACCGGGAGAACAGTAGCTGGAATGTTGTGACTTTCAGGCAAAGTGGAGTCTCAACAACTTGCCTAGACTAATCAGGTACGTAAGATCTCATGACACATTCATTTAGTTAGGGCAGAGTTCATGATACAAGATGATACACATCAAAATATTCTGATCTTGAACTCGAAAAGCAATCTTGCTTTCAGTGATGAGTCTGCACTCCTGGGTAGATATCACATGATGCTTTTATTCAGTAAATTAATATTTAGTCCAAAAAACAAGATTGCTCCTAGCGATGAGTCTGGACTGCAGATAGACGTCGCTCACGGGTGAACTTGATAATGCATCTAGGTAGCGACTTTTTCGAAGAAATAGGTGCAAAACGTAACATTCTTGTTTCTTTTTACATGAAAGAAGCACTATTAACCTAGAACCTTTAGATTCAAACAACACTAACCACAGATATATTGTAGCATTCTATTGGATACGGGTGTGTGTGTTTGTTTGCTTGTGTGTATATTTTTGTGTAAACACGATAACTCATAATAAATGACAGTCGTTTCTGCACCCAAATATCACCTACCGGAAGAGAAAATCAAGAGTGCTTTTGAGCTAATTTTATCGGTTGCATCAGGACTAATTGTGTTTTAAGAGAACAGCCTTTGCCATAACTTTTACATCAGGAAAAGTATCTCCTATTTCGCGTCCACCAATACAATCTACGTCACTCTTTTATGCATTGTCTCAAACAAAGAATCCACACACAATTTAGAATTAAGATCCAGCTAGAAGACTAGAGTAGTCAAATGTAAAATGGTCAAACTATACATAACATTGAATGTGCCACTATGCACTTTTTTATGAACTCTTGCATGTAAGCATAATTGATCATCTTTATATAATGTGATCATTAACATCTAACGCCAGTTTGCATAAGCTCAACGGCTGTCATTTTCAAAGCATGGCGTCACCCATTACAGGCACGGTTTTTCCTTTGACTTCACAACACGCACAAAGTTTTTTGTGTTCTTTCTCAAACTCACTATAGCTTTAAACCCCTTGCTACGCTAAAGATTAAAATGGGTGTTTAGTAGAATTTCATATGCTGCAATGTTAGACAGAGTGTTTATTAAAATTTCTTCAATTAAGCTGGAGGACGCTGACAGATGAACCTCCTCAGATGGAAGCAAGCATCGTCGTCCCACATGACGTAACCAGTCGACCGTGGGGAGAGCCAGCCGGGTGGCTTGAGAGGCTAATCCATTGGAAGCATGTAAGAAAAAAAGCGTCAAAAGTCAACTACTCGAGTTTTAGTCCATTAGCATACACATTGATGGTTGCTCTGACCTCTACATTGTCAATAGTTACCGAATTTTGTACGGCAAAAAGGGCCAAGAAAATCTTTCAAATGCACACAAATGCTGATGACTACATGCAAACAGACATTATCTTCTGGTGAAAAAGACACCCCAAACATGGGTGAAAAATTGTAGGTAATAAACAGTTCCCAGGGATTTTTAAAATTTTGTATTAGTACTAAATGGTATTTCTGTCGAATATAAACTAGACTAGTTGCGTGGATTACTGACCTTTTCCCAGTACTGTCCACATAAGGCGCTCAGCAATCGGGGGTTACTTGGCTCGCCTGGAGTCCATCCCTATTCAAATAATAAGAGAGTATTAAAATGTAAAAGGGGAAACCATATTTGCATACGGAGTTGTTGGAATATATATCGATGATGGGAAAGAAGACAAGCTGAATTGTTGCATGCATGGTAATACCTTACTTAATTTATGTGTATTTTTTCGTTTTTATACACTTCATTGTTTACATGTGTATGTGTTACTTAAAAGGAGGGTCAGGGCTCGCAATACTTGTTGAATGGGCACCTTAGTGCAGGTAAAACTGAGGATGTGGAAGTACTTCTTATGTCTACGTATACCTGCATCTAACCTGCACTGGTCCACGTACAAGGGTTATCAATTATACACAATGTAGGTATCTGCGGATTTTAATTTGTTGCATTCACCGATATCTATAAATGAAGTATGAAAGGAATAATGGCAATGGTTTCGGAACTGTTTTAGTGTGATCCATGTTTCCTAGATTCTGAGTGATACAGTTTTTAGTGTGATTCATGCTCCCTAGATTGCTGGTAAAACGTATCTGGTGCAGGTAGTTTTCAATGTTACCTGCACCAGGGCGAGTTAGCAGAAAAAAGGATTTCGAGGCCTGAGGGTGCAAAAAAAGTATACGATTAAGTATATTCAGAAAATGGTTGGCTTTATGATATTTCCTAGAAAAAAAGGCGCTTAATTCACAAATTCACAATTCTCTATCAGTTATAAACAAGTCTTACCAACATACCTGGTACCCGTTCTGGCCGACCCTCGACCCGTCCACCCAATACCAGGTCTTCCCTTTCTCCTCCATACCTATCCAGTGTTCCTTGTTGCCTCCTTCCCTTTTGACCAGATGTCTCAGAGCGACGTCCAGTTCTTCCGTTTTCGGCATGGCCAGTGTGGCTCCTTCCGTCATGCATGCCTTCTTTGCCCCATCATGGGACCTCGCGATCTCGAGCCAGCCTGTTGGCCCGAGCTTGATGCAGGTCCCGGCGAGTAGTTTGTAGCCTTTCTTGCAGCGGGGAACTGGGAAGAACAGTTCAAAGAAACATAATGTTGAGGTCTATTATTACTTCATATATTCAGCCCTTATTACCACACGGCGGAAACCAATTTTAAACCCGTCATTGATGGATCACCAGACAGCTGCATAAGAGTCTGGGAGACTAGTTTGTAGTCCACACGGCGCCTGGTATTCTCTACCTCTTAAGTCACGGGTAGCTTTTGTAATTTGTAAATGCATAGAAGCCACGAATATAAAACAAATCCTCTGTCATTGTTAAAAATCCCCTGTCATTGTTAAAGTGAGAAATGCCTTTCTAGAAGTAAAATTCGAAAGAGATGGGTCGTTCTAAGCCAATGCTTATGATCGACCAAACGTCACTGGTCAGATCATCCTTTACGAGACAGCCCGATATACCGTAGCCGACAAATACAATGTATCGTAACACTGTTGAACATATAATATGCTTTCAAATAATGTATTGTGTGTAATAACTATCCTTAGAATTTATACATGCATGTCTAACCATGTGTGGCGTCGTCGAATGTGTTGCCGTGAAAGGGTGGTGGACGTCCAAATGGCAAATGTCCCTCAGTCGTAAGTACAGTCTCCTTCTGGTGCTGTAGGGCAAATTGAAAAAAAATGTTTCCATTGACTCAAGAATTTTATCCTATCGGAGGATGTATTTCTAAGTTACATTTTTAACATCTTCACATCTGTTCATTGTTTGTGTCATGACCACATTGTACGATTTGCTTTAATGAAATGAAATGAAATACCTTTATTGTACATTCATGCCACGACGGACTAGGTACAGGTCAAGATATAACAGACATATAACAAACGTATATAGAAAATTGGAGACAAAAGATGCACTACTTGATTAAGACATACATACATAAGGAACATAATGTACAAGGGTACTATACTAGGCTAATACAAAATGTCACTGATTAGGTCAATGTAAAACAAAGTTGTATCCGTCGTAGTAAGCATGCATTGCAATGTGAAAAGAAAGAATCTAATGACCTTAGTTGATATAGAGATCATGTCCTAGAAAGAAGCCATGAAAAAGAAGGAATCTAGTGACCTCGATGTTAAACTTACGTTGGATGAAATGTCTGTTTTGTCGGTTGAGATCACTCCAGGCAGCGAAGTTGACTGGTCCGGCTGTGTGTCTGCCATCTGTGGCAGTTCAGTTGTGTTGTCCGGTAGGGTAGTCGCCAGCCAGGCCTGTGCAGGTGTCATCTCTGACAGTGCCGGTGACACCATGCGACTTTCAAGCAGACGTTGGTTTGGAGACTCTTTAACGGGTGGGTCTGCTGTCTCACCGTGCTGTAAAGATATGACCAAATTGTTTGAAAAGGAAAGCGAAACTTATTGCATTTACATTTACCCTTTACGTATCAGTCTTCAAGAAGATAAAAAGTGTTTTTATATGTTAATATATAAATCTGTAATATATAAAACTCTACTACCTAAAGAGATCAGGTGAAGAGATCGTGTTCTATTATCTAAAAGCTAACAGATTATCATCCAATGAATAAGACATGGGATGCTTTATATATATAAGGCTTGCATACATAGGTTACGAGTTAACTGTTTTCTTTAATAGTTGTAACTTTTGATACTGCTGTAGAAATGACATCACTACTAGGGACATTGAATCTAAGATAACAAAATGATCCCGTAATGGATACCTTGTTTCCCGTAAAGGTGAGATACATGAGAACACAAGCTCCTGTTCCCAACAGGGCGACTACTGGAACAGCGATGGCGATAACACGAAGCAGACTGGGGCGCGGACATTTGAAGCTCTTCAGGCGTCCCCAGACGTTTGCAATGATGGAATCTGTATGTAGCCAATAACTGATGTTTGTTTATTGTATCTCTATTTGTTATTGTCATTTGCAGCTTTTTGCGCACTTGCAATAGTAGTAAGTAAACGGATTCTTTATTTGAATAATCCAATGGTAAAGTTGCTTTGTCATGTTACTTATATGTGGATTTGATATAAGGTTTAGATTTTAATGGCATTCTTAAATTCTTCTGCATTAAATTTCCTATTTGCCTAGAAAGCAACCAACAGACTTCATAGCGCTAGCATTTTCGGAAGATAAATGTAGAAAATTGTATTACTATATGTGACATCAAATGTCATTAATATATCAGATGTGTCAGTATGTGAAAAAGATTTTCGTAAGAACTTGAGGCAATATTAGAAATTCAAACAAGTTCAACCAAAGGTACCTTCTTTTTTAAATCCGTCTTGGCGTAGTACACCAGGCACATACCAGCTGTTTGCAGTTAAACCTGCTATGTTATTGCCTGTAGTCGGGGACAATAAGAGTATTTATAGTGATTCAATCGTCCGTTCATCTCTATTCTGAGATGTTAAACAATATGTTATCAATGGAGTAAAAAAAATATTGTAAGCAATACAATACAATACAAACAGAATATACCTCCGTCCTTAGGTTGTACTGCGTTGTCGGGTGGATCGGCGATGTTGTGACCAGAAGCCACAGGAGTTGTACCGGCACTCGTCTGCTCACCAGTCTGTAGTTCATTCAAGATTTCATCATAGTCGATGTAGTTGTAAGCTTGGCTGTCTACGTCTTCATAGCTGTGCTCATCTTCGTCCTCCATACGGCTGTCTATGTCTTCATAGCTGTGCTCATCGTCGTCCCCCATACCTGTGGTAAAGTTTAGTTCTGTCATACATGGGACGTACAAAGTACAAACATCTTTAATGACGAGGTACTGTATTGTGGCCAATTGGTTTCCAGAACTTTTTGAAATACTAGTATAGAAGACAAAAAAATAGAAAATTTATGTGACTCCAACCTATTTAAAACAAGTTTTGTTTTGTTAGACGGTAAAGAATAATTAAAAAAATCTAATCAAATATGCAAATCGATTCAGATGGTTTTTAAGAGAACATTGACACCAAATGCAGTGATTATCTTATAAATGTCAATGTTAATTCAACAAACTCAATTCATCGAAGATAATACGGCTTGCCTGCGAACTGGGTACGTAAATTAGATAATTATATGTCATTTTTTTTACAATACACAATAACAAAATGTTATAACTTACCATTGTTGACATCTTGGTGTAAAGGTAAAGAGGATGTCATCTTGTTACGAACTTGCTTTCTCTGCTACACTCTCCTCCTATAGAGCTTATTCTCTGTTGAGCAATTAAAGAAACAGAACAATGGAAATATATCAAATGTTGACAATAATCACTAAATCAACGCCGGGTGCACGGGACAGAGGCCGGTGTCTCGAAGTACTCGTATGGTAAAACTTCCCAAACTAAGCCTCAGCAACTGCTCTAGACTAATCAAGATCTCGTGGCAAAGATCCCATGACAACGTGAAACTTGGGTCAAAGTTCAAATATAGGAGGATAGACTTTAAAATATTCTGATATTCAATTCGCAAAGCAATCTTGCTTTTAGAGATGAGTCTGCACTCCAGATTGAAACCGTAACGCCGCCCACGGGTAGAATTGATGATACATATTGAAGTTACATGTAGATAGTAAAATTCTACTTGAATGAAGTAGGTGCAAAATGTACTTTTAAAGGTATCAGTTTTATATTCTTTATTTTAAAGCAGCGATTTGAACCTATAATCATTGGTTTTTAAGTCAACAAGTGCAAAACGTAACACTAGCAAATTCCATTTACCACCTTTGGTCCTTGATGGATAATTCATGTAATACAAACATGTAACGTTTCAGTCTTGCGTCATAACTCTTTTATAAACATGTGTTTTCAAAACACTGTAGAATGATATTTTCTCAATTTTACCCACTGCAGGAGGCTAGGACTCAATGATACATTTACCAATGTTGAAATGTTGAAATACCTTCCGTTCTTAGTGTACGTTTAATCTTAAGTAGTTGATACAATATATAATTCTTTCATAAAGCTTTTAGACATCGGCAATATTTGTTACAGTTGACGTTTCAAGCTAACCGTACACATGTTTACATGAGTTGACGATTTGGAACAAAACATTCTAGACTGCTTTGACAACACATGTATATAAAAGAGTTATCACGCAAGGCTTAAAGGTTGCGTGTTTATTGCATGAATTATCAATCAATAGGTGGCAACGGTTTTGCAAGGGCTATGGTTTCATTTGTTGACTTTGAAACTAAAGATGCTAGGTTCGAATCGTTGCTTTAAAGCAAAAACAGATGATAACTTCTATTATGTATCTTGTTCTTTCAGGTAGAATTGTCCTATCTTTCTTCTATAACTAATTTTACCCGTAGGTGATGCCATGATCGTTTCTCTCAGAAGTGCAGACTCATCACTGAAAGGAAGATTGTTTTTTTTTCAGATTGAATGTCAGATGATATTTAAAAAAAGTGTATTTGAACTTTCACCGAAGTGAATGAATTTTTCATGAGATCTTACCTGATCAGTCTAGGCATTTGTGATTAAGACTTGGCCTAAAAGTCACCATTACAGCTACTGTAGTGGTGATTCAGTCATTCTTGTCAGAATTTATCATTGAAAAAAAAACAGACGATTTTTAATGTACTTATTTACTTGACGATGAGTTCAACAGAAGAAGAACCTAGCCAAGAGCCCGGCGGTAGAAGCACCGGTGTTGGTCACAAGATGGCTGCACACCAAAACGTCAATGAAGGTAGGTTGAGATTAAAATCTACTGCTATTATGTAAACAGAAGACAACACATTATTCTATCATTTACGTGCATAGACGGCTGGCAAGCTATCATCAAAATTAACCTGACATTGATGATATTAACTTTATTGAATTATACTTAACATCACTAGCCTATTTTGTGTTGATAATGTATAAGTGACCAGGCTCGGTTTACATTCTATGATGATCAGAAATTCGTTTAGTAACCTTGTACCTTTTCAGGCGAGTATAGAAAGACTTTATAATTTATAGAATGAAGAATGTCCTTGTGTGAATGTTATTTATATTAACAAAACAACTTTAGTTTTACCATTTGATTATTGAAATAATTGTAACCAGCTACGACGCTTGAGACTTGGACTTTATGTAACTTTCCTTATATTTAATCAAAGCATCAGTTTACTATAGCAAGTGTAGTCTTGTAAAACAGCTAGATATAACGATAGCTCCGCAACCTTATACCTTTGCCAAATGATGCTAAACTTTATGACTAGCAAATTGTAATTTTTTCACTAATAAAGATCTTTATTCGCAAGCATTATATCTGATCCAGTTGATCATATTCTACAACCAATGACATTTTATCGTGTAAAAAAAGGCCTATACTTCCAGTTTCTAAACAAATTCACTTCCAGACTATACTTACGGGTACCGAGAAGCTGAGGAGGTCAGTAAGGCTTATAAGGAGGAATCTAGCTCCCACAAGAAATCAGACGGTGATGTTTACGGGTACAAAAAGCCCGAGGATGTCAGCAAGGGGTTTGAGGAGAAGCCTTCCTCCCGCGACTACGAGAAACCAGAGGACGTTTACGGCTACAAAGAGCCTGAGGAAGTACGCTTCTCATACAAGCCTAAAGGTACGCTATTTATATCATTGAATACAGCATCAATTGATTCAATGTATAGTCCCAGAGTTCCACGAGCTCATGATGTTAATCCGTGAATGCTGTTTGAGATTGAGTATTCAGATCCTTATTTGTACAAATCAAATTTTTAAATCATATTCCCCACCCAATTTCAGCCCTAATCATTTCAAGGCCTCATGAAATCCTTATCACCTACCAAGTTTAATGTCAATCCATTCAAAACGTGTTCAGTATCGTTCTAAAACACACATATACATGCATATAAACGCTACCACATTCTAGACGAAGGCATGCAAACATTTCTGGGGCTTGATTTATCCGTGTTGTCGCAACATCTGTCCTAGAACCAGCCTTGCTGAGAACAGGAGTTTGTATCATTGCGTAACTCACTGCTATAACGGAAAACAAATGAGCTACAATCCACGTATGACTGATCTTCATATTAGTATTACCGCGTACAAATGTAAAAAATATTTGAACCTGCTTTTTTTAAGAAATTACAGACAACAACGTTAACATGGCAGGTCATGGGGATTATGTGCCTGGTTTACTGCGACAAGACAAAAATGAAGGTAACTTTTGTTGAACATGCTTGATTTCAAAGGCACGAAATACAAATGATTTGGAAAATAACATTGACATAACTGATATATTATAGCCATTTATAGATGTAGTCATAAATAGTAATGCATTTTCATATATTTATGATCCGTCTACGACAATACTAGGAGAATGAGGTCTGCTGGCTTTCTAGACAGGTAGTAACATTTTTACAGTAAAGAATGCCCATGATCTCTACATGTTATCTATATAATTACAACTAGTTATAATATTGGCCTTGTGTCCTGGACTTGTAAGTTTCCTGCTTTAATAAAGTGTATCCTTCGCATGACCAAAAGAAATATAGATACAATAAACAAACCTAAATTATCAGTTATATAGATTTATTATATAGAGTTATTGGCTACATACAGATTCCATCATTGCAAACATCTGGGGACGCCTAAAGAGCTACAAATGTCCGCGCCCCAGCCTGCTCCGTGTTATCGCCATCATTACTCCAATAGTCGCCCTGTTGGGAGCGGGAGCTTGTGTCCTCTTGTATCTCAGCAAGGTATGCGTAACGAGATCAGCTTCTTATATTATATTATATAGATTTTATGTCAATGTTTCTTCTGACTTGTACCATTAAAAGCAAATTCTATTTTAGATATTCTTATTGATTGACTCACTGTTTGACTTCAAATATTACTATATTTTTTTATACCTTGTCAAGTACATGTTTGCTAGTTAACCTAATGTTATTTTGATTTAGTTGTACAACTGGTTATTCAAATTTATTTTCATTGATGATGCAGCTTTTGTTTTTGTCAACCTCTTTCTCATTGTGATCATTTGATGCCATATTTTGTTACTTATTCTTAGGGTCTTCCCTCTAGGAGTTTTTGAAATTTTGCCAGTGTTAGGCACTTCCCTGCTAAATAAAAAAAGTAAATATAGTCAGTAACCGGTTGTGTCATTTCTACAGAATTATAATAAGTCACAAATTGCAATACGTAACGATTTCATAACTTACTGTAATCATGGCAGCACTCCAAGCCCTATTCATTTGATGGTAAGTTTTCAGCTTTTAAATGATACTTCAGGAATGATCTCCACATATGATCTTGTTATATAATTGACTCCTTTCATTTAATTCGTATATCTACATATAACGACACTTTCAAAAATTGTACATTACTTTCCTTAAACTTGAAGACACTACATTTAAAAACTGATCGTGCAAAAATCTCTGATATGTAAATGTCAATGCTATAGGCATAGCTTTCATTACTAAAAAATAGGTTATATCTTTACAGCACGGTGAGACAGCAGGCCCATCCGTGAAAGGGTCTCCAAAAGATCGTCTACTTGAAAGTCGCATGGTGCCTCCTGCAATGTCAAAGATGACTCCTGCACAGGCTTGGCTGGCGACTACCCTACCGGACAACACAACTGGACTGCCACAGATGGCAGACACACAGCCGGACCAGTCAACTTCGCTGCCTGGAGTGATCTCAACCGACACTACAGACAAGTCAAGTCATGTCACATCAACCAAGGTCATTAGATTCTTTCTTTTTTATGGCTTCAAATTGCAATGCATGCTTGCTACGACGGATACAACTTGTTTTACATTTACCTAATCAAATTAAAGTAAATCGTACAATGTGGTCATGACACAAACAATGAACAGATGTGAAGATGTTAAAAATGTAACTTAGAAATACATCCTCCGATAGGATAAACTTCTTGAGTCAATGGAAACATTTTTTTTGTTCAGTTTGCCATACAGCACCAGAAGGAGACTGTACTTACGACTGAGGGACATTTGCCATTTGGACGTCCACCACCCTTTTACGGCAACACATTCGACGACGCCACACATGGTTAGACATGCATGTATAAATCTTAAGGATAGTTATTATACACAATACATTATAGATGTTACACTTCAACAATGTTACAATGCGTCATACTTTTCGGCTACGGTATATCGGGATGTCTGGTAAAAGGATGATCTCTCAGTGACCAGTGACTTTTGGTCGATTATATGCATTGGCTTAGAAACGATTTTCACCGTATGCTAGGCTTGAAAAAAAGACCTCAATCTCACGTTGCCTTTCATTGTTCTTTCTAGTTCCTCACTCCAACAACGGCTATAGACTAATACGTAATAGCCGGGGCCTGTATCAGGCTCGTTGTTTCTGTTTCTGTTTCTAGTTCGGGCTCGAGATTATATGAACCATCTCTTTCAAATTTTACTTCTAGAATGGCATTTCTCGCTTTCTTCAGAGGTACAGAATACCAGGTGCTGTGTGGACTACAAACTAGTCTCCCAGACTCTTATGCAGCTGTTTGATGATCCATCAAATGGCAGGTTTAAAATTGGTTTCCGCCATGTGGTAATAAGGGCTGAATATATGAGGTAATAATAGACCTCAACATCATGTTTCTTTGAACTGTTCTTCCCAGTTCCCCGCTGCAAGAAAGGCTACAGGCTACTCGCCGGGACCTGCATCAAGCTCGTGTCAACAGGCTGGTACGGGCTCGGGAGGTCCCATGATGGGGCAAAGAAGGCATGCAGGAAGGAAGGAGCCACACTGGCCATGCCGAAAACGGAAGAACTGGACGTCGCTCTGAGAGATCTGGTCAAAACTGAAGGACCCAACAAAGGACACTGGATCGGTATGGAGGAGAAAGAGGGAACCTGGTATTGGGTGGACGGGTCGTTGGTCGGCCAGAATGGGTACAAGGTATGTTGGTACGACGTGCTTTAATATAACTGATAGAGAATTGTGAATTTGTCTTTCTTCCAGGAAATATCATAAGGCCAACCACTTTCTTAATCCCCTAATCGTACACTCTATTTGCACCCTCACGCTTCGAAATACTTATTTTTTCTAATTTTGAAAATTTTGAAAATTGAAAATTACCCGCACCAGATAGATTTTCCCTGCACCACTCAGAATCTAGGAAGCATGAAATCATACTAAAAACTGTTCAGAAACCATTGTCATTATTCCTTTCATAGATGGTAACGGTGATTGCAGGAAATAGAAACCCACATACACCTAGATTTGTGTATAGGCTCAGTACATGGACCAGTGCAGGGAGACATTAGAAATACCCACATAGCTACAATTTTACCTACTAAGGTTCATATGCACCCAGTATTTCGAGCCCTGACCCTCGAGCTCCTTTTAAGTAACACATACGCAAGTCATGTAACCAGTGAAGTGTATGTATTATGATTTATTACATTAAATTTCAAATTGTCGAGTATCTATTTCAATAACTTCCTACGGTTGCCCCTATGACATTTCAAAAGTCTCTTCTTTTGAATAGGGATGGAATCCAGGCCAGCCAAGTAACCCCCGATGGCCGCCCACATGTGGACAGTACTGGGAAAAGGTCAGTAATCCGCGCAGGTGACAAGAAAAGTCGAGCTTTGGTTAATAGAAATACCCTCTAGTATTTGTTAAACTAAATTTAAAACTAGAAAGGCAGACATTTGGTCGGGAGCAAATATAGTACGTTTCAGTCCCTCCTCTTATTCCAAAATAGACTGTATTCGCAAATCTACCCTGTAGTGCTTTTCGATATTAGGCTTTTTAAAACCCCCATGCAATCCCCACTATATAGTAAAATTGGCATTGAAAACAGTCAAAAAGTCCCGAATGATACAATTTTAAAGGATTGTATTCCGCAGGATATAATGAATTGTTGTTGGAGACAAATGACACACTCATACCAAATTTCAGATCATCTGGGTGTAATACCAGATCTCTATGACCCAAAATGTACAGATATTGTCAAATTGCCTAAGTAAAAATTTTGGAGGTCAGTATCCTTACCCTTCAAACTTGTCACTGTTGAAAGAATCCTCTAGTAACTGCCTAAATAAACAAATAAAACAATTCTTTTAAAAAAAAATGAATAAAAAAACACACCCGGAAGTATTGCCCCAATCCACTTCTGCACAAAGAAAATTCAAGTCATTTGGCAAAATAAATGAAGAAATTGAATCCATTTAAAGCAGAAGGAAGAGGAGAATAAACATGAAGAAAAATAACGTAACTAAAATTAAACATTTTTCTTGCGAAATATTGGTGTTTTAGAGCTGGAGGTTACAGTTGATTTTTCTCTTCTCTTCTCGAGGTATTCACCTGGCTCTTCTCACAGTCTGGACACCCCATGTGGGACGACGATGCTTGCTTCAGTCTGAAGAGTTTCATCTGTCAGCGTCCCCCGGCCTAAATAGAGACTTTCAATATACATTCGTTCTGCCTAACATCGCAGTATATGAAATTCTACTAAACATGCATTTCAATCTTTTAACGTAGCATGGGGCTTAAAGCTACAGTGAGTTTGAGAAAGAACTGAAATAGCTTTTACATGTTGTGAAGACAAGGGGTAAACCAGGCTTTTCAACACCCGCTGAGCTCATGCAAACTGAAGTTAGATGTTAGTGATCACATAACATTAACATTAATTAATACAATGTTATGAATAGTATGCTTACATGCAAAAGTTCGTGAAAAAGTGCACAGTGACTCATGCAATGGATCGGTATGGAGAAGAAAAGGGGAACCTGGTATTGGGTGGACGGGTCGAAGGTCGGCCAGAATGGGTACACGGTACGTTGGTACAACGTGTTTATAACTGAAAAAGAATTTTGAATTTGTGAATTACGCGCCTTTCTTCCAGGTAATATCGTAAGGCTAACCTCTTTCTCAAGCCCTTTATCGTACACATTTTTTGCACCTTTTAGGCCTCGAATAAGCTGTCTGCATAGCCGCACTGGTGCAGGTAACACATTGAAAATTACCTGCACCAGATAAATTTTACCTGCACCACTCAGAATCTAGGAAACATGGATCATACTAGAAACTGTCAGAAACCATTGCCATTGTTTATTTCATACTTTATAGTTTATAGATGGTAAGAGTGAATGCTGCAAGAAAAAACTACATACACCTACATCGATTTGTGTATAATTTATAAACCCAGTACATGGACGAGTGCAGGCTATGTGCAGGTAGACATCAGAAATACCTGCACAGCTCCAATTTACCCTGCACATTCACCACATATTTCGAGCCTGACCCTCATTTTAAGAAACACACATACATGTAACCAATGAAGTGTATAAACATGTAAATAATATGCACCGAAATCAAGGTATTGCCATGCATGCAACAGTACAGCTTGTCTCTTTTCCAACCATCGATATCTATTCGATTAATACGGTTGTTACTTTTAGTGATTCCTCTTAAGAAGTTTGGCGATGCATAATTAAGATAAAAAGATAAGCAGTAGATGCCTTTCAAATGTCACACTGACACATGTGGCCATTGCACAGGGAGGTGCTTTGTTTAGTGCATATCCCCACAGTGTGTGGGAGGAGTCTAGACCGTGAGGATGTAGACACCTGTCATTAGAAGATCTAGTCCGAGCTTAAAGAAGGAGATCTTTACATGTGTGCAAGTCAAAGATTCGTAGTTCTGCCTTTTCGTTGAATTGTTGTAACCACTGTGTGGTCTGCTCGTAAAAGATACTGTAGAAGTGTATGCGATGGTTGTGTTGATCTGTTCTGGTTTCGCTTAACATATACTACTCAACTTGAATTTGTTGTGTTGACATCCTATCTATCCGTTTCTGTATCATTTCTAAATATTTACAATTTTCTTGAAATAAAAAGTTGCAAAATATCACTGTGTAGAGGGTATCTTCTTTTTTACTTTTTACTTAACCCTCGCAGAAATTTGAAGTAGTAATTCGAAGCTAAAAAGTTTAGATGCTAAGTCAACAGTTTTATCCACTTTTTGACTTATTGATGGAAAATTCATGTAACAAAGACTTAACCTTTAGCTTTGCGTTTTAACTCTATTAATAATGTTTTAAACACGTAAAAAAATTAAAATACATTTTAACAATAATCAGTAAATCAACGCCCAGTCAAAAAGACAGACGCCAATGTCCAGTGATGTGAAGGTCTCAAATTGTATAACTTTTAGGCAAAGCCAGGCCTCAGCGACTTGCCTAGACTAATCAGGTGAGATCTCATGACGAATTCATTCACTGGTCAAAGTTCGAGATGATGCAAGTTCTGATCTTCAATTCGAAAAACAATCTTGCTTTCAGTGATGAGTCTGCACTCCAGATTGAAACCGTAACGTCGCCCACGGGTAGAATATATCAATGGATGGTGCCTAGTGCAGTGACAAGAATGACTGCACATGTAGGTAGCAACATTTTACTTGAAAAAAGTAGGTGCAAAAGGTACTATGTAAAGGGTATCAATTTCATATTCTTTACATTACTTTGAAACAACGATTCAAACCTAAAGCAAACAAGTGCAAAACTAATCTCTTGAAAAAACAATTTGCTACCTGTTGATAAATAATTCATGCAATAAACTCGTAACCTTTACGTCTTGCGTCATATTGCGTAGAATAATATTTTATGTAAGAATTCTACCCAGGAGGCTAGGACTCGATGAAACATTTTAACTTCTGTTCTTATCAGTGTATGTTTATCTTTATGTAGTTGATTCAACATAACTTCTGCTTTTACACAGCTTTTAAGACATCAGCAATATCAGGTTGCCGCGTTTTAAGCTTAACATAAACATGTTTACATGACTAAGTGATTTGGAAAAAAAAGACATCATTCTAGGCTTGAAAACACATGTATATAAAAGAGTTATGGCGCAATGCTTAAAGGTTGCGTATTTATTGCATGAATTATCCATCAATAGGTGGTATCGTGGTTTTCCAAGTAGATATAGTTAAACTTCCTGACATAGAAACTACAGTTTCTAGGTACATGTTGGAATCGTTTTTGAGCCAAAAAATGATTTGATTTGATTCTATTATCTTGTTCTTTCTGGTAGAATCTTACTTGTACACGTGTATCATATCATCTTTGGGTATCATCAATTTTACCCGTGGGCGTTGTCAACGTTTCTATCAGGCTTCCAGACTTATCACTGAAAGCAAGATTGCTTCTCGGATTGAATATCAGATTTTTAAAAAGTGTATCGTCTACTGTTTGAACTTTGACCAAAGTGAATAAAAACCTGATAAGTCTACGCATCTAACATTTGAGACTTGGCTTTGCCGAAAACTCAAAACATTACAGTGGTGGTTCAGTCATTCGTATCAGAATTTATCACTGAAACAACAGAGACGATTTCCAATGTCCTATTTGACGATGAGTTCAACAGAAGAAGAACCTAGCCAAGAAGCTGGCGGTAGAAGCGCCAGTGTTGGTCACAAGATGGCTTCACACCAAAACGTCAGTGGAGGTGAGTTAAAATTACAATCTTGTGTGTACGGAAGACAACATATTATTAGACATAGACATAGACTTAGACAAAGCTATAGCTTTAGACAACTACATTTTATCATGTAGATTTTAGTTACTTATACTTTGTTTCATTGTTGTTTTATGTTTGTAATTTGCAATTAGCCCCTGGGCACGAATTTGCAATAAACATCTAATCATTATTCTCCTATTCAAGCTGGCAAGCTAACATCAAAATTGACCTGACATTAACATTGCCTTAACTGAATTAGAATAAACTTCGTAGAATGCTGTGTTGATAGTCTATGAAATTTTATGATGATCGAAAATTCGTTTAATTACTAACCTTGGAAAGTATGCGAGTAGAAAACGAAATCTTAATTTAGAATACAAATGTAATTGTGTGAATGTTACCTATATCTACAAAACAACTTAGCTTTACAATATGATTAATATTTAACAAATCAACAGGCTACGACCCTTGAGACTTGTGCGTACCTGTATAAAAACATTTTGAAACATAACAATAGTTCCGCAACCTTATACATTTGCCAAATGTTGCTAACCTTAATATATTATAAAGGTTATGACTGACAAAGTGTTAAATATTTAAATCGATTATGTATATATGATCTTTATTTCCATGACTTAATTGTATCTGTAACCAACGACAAGGTTACAGTGTTCAAAATCTAGCTTGTGGGGTCGTGTGGCGTCGCGGCAGAGTGCGCGACTCGGAACTTAGAGTCCCGGGTTCGAGTCCTGACATGCCACCGATCTTGGGAAAGGCACTTTACACGGCTTTCCTCACTTAGCTCAAGTGTAAATGAGTATTGTCCTGTCATGTATTTGTCCCCTGTGTTGGTGGCGGCATTAATATAAGTTGAAAAAACTTGAGTATGTCGTCACCACGTCTGGTGATTACATGTTGGAATTTAAAAAAAAAACGACAGCCTTATCGTATACAATGGGCTATACTAGCATTTCTTCAAAATTCATTTTCAGAATGTATTTACGGGTACCGAGATGCTAAGGTCAGCAAGGATTTTGAGGAGGAATCTGGCTCCCAAAGCTACAAGAAACCACACGGTGATGTATACAAGTACAAGGAGCCTCAAGACGTCAGCTTCGCATACAAGGGTAAAGGTACGATAGTTACAACAAAATTGAATACAGAATAGCAAAGTTCTTTCATCACAACCATTTATTTTCCAAGAGCCGACGTTTCGATGACCGTCTGCCATCTTCATTAGACAGACGGTCATCGAAACGTCGGCTCTTGAAAAACAAATGGTTGTGGTGAAAGAACTTTGCTGTTCAGTAGTTTACCAACCTGATGAAATTATTTACGAACATTGAATACAGTATCGATGCAAACGCCATTGCTTCAATGCACAGAACAAGAGTGCCACAACCTCATGCTAATAGCAGAAGCTTGTATCATCACATATTTGACTGACTGTTTTAACGGGAAACAACTCATTGAGAGCTAAAAAAAATCACGTTGAACTTATGTCAAACATGTTAGATTGCACAAGAAAGAAAATATAACGGCCTTGGAAAAACATTGACATAACTGACATGTTACAAGTTGATGCAGTCAAACATATACATTTTCATGAATTTATAGTCCGAAATTACTAGCGCAATAAAGTTTGCTGGCCGCTTTCATTAACGGTTTTAGTAACATTTTTGCAATAGAATTACCTTGATATCTAAATGATATCTAGATTTAAATATAAATTCTGCAACCTTTTGGTTTACCATTGAATTATTCAAATAATTGCAACTAGCTATACGCATGGACTTGTTACTTTCATACTTTTGGATAAATTGTATCCGTAAGCAAGAACATCCTTGTACAAAAAAACTGCGCATGGCCGTAGAAAATAGTAGCCTCCATAGCATGCCAAAAACTGGGAGTTTGGGTATCTTCAGGGTCTTTGGGAGCTTTTATGTGTTATTTTCTGATTGCATGATATAGACAACATAGCCGGCCAGATTGAATTAGCCCGTTTAGAACTGAGCTGATCAGAA